ATGACTTCAAATACTTCTATCCAGTCCCTTCTTGCCTGCAAGGTTTGCTTTGAGACATCAGCTAATACTCTTATGGAAACTCCTTTGTAAGTAACTGCCTCTTTTCCTCCTGCTGCTTTTTAAGATTCTCTCCTGATCTTTAATCTTGGGTAATTTAATTATGAAGTATTTTGGTGAGTTCTTCCTTGAGTCCAACTTCTTTGGGACTCTCTGAGCTTCCTAGACTTCCTGGAAGTCTATTTCTTTCTCCATGTTGGGGAAGTTCTCCTTCATTATTTTTACAAATAGGTTTTTCAACTTCTTGCTCTTCCTTTCCTCCTTCTGGCATCCCTATGATTTAGATGTTGAAATGTTAAAGTTGTCCCAGAGTTTCCTAAGCCTCTCCTCATTTTTTTGAATTCTTATTTCTTCATTCTGTTCTGGTTGATTGTTTATTTTTTCCTTTTGTTCCAAATTGTTGTGGAAGTCCCAGTTTCCTTCCCTTCTCTGTTGGTTCCCTATATATTTTGCCTTATTTCATTTTGTATAGCCTTCACTTCTTCCTTCATTTTGCCACTGAACTCAATCATTTCTGTGAGCATCCTGATTACCAGTGTTTTGAACTCTGCATCTGATAGGTTGGCTATCTCATTGTAACTTAGCCCTTTTTCTGGAGCTTTAATTTATTCTTTCATTTGGGCCATATTTCTTTGTCTCAGCATACCTGTTACATTGTAAGGGGTGGAGGCTTGGGTATTCACCAGGGCAGGGCAGCCCACTTCATTGTGATGTGGTGCTATATGTGGGGTAGGGTTCAGAAAGGGAACAATGCTGCTTGCTCAGCTCTCATCCCCCTTTCAGACACATCCCTTGCTACCCACAAGGGAATTGGGCCCTTCTGGTGCTGCTTCCCAAGTGGGTAGGTTTGTGTGCATTCTAGGACTCTGTGGGTCCCTTCTACAGACTCTTCTGTGAGACTTGGAATTATCCCACCCCTGCAACTCCCACAGGTTTTTACAACCAGAGGTTTTAATGCTTTATTTTCCCACACTGAACCCTGGGTTGCGTGGTCTGTCTTGCTCCTGAGTTGTTACTCCTGGTGTACCTGCACATGAATGTGGGACTGCCCATGCTAAGGTGGGACCGCCCAATCCGCCAGCTGCAGCCTTTCCACACATCCTCTCCACCCCGACTGCCTGTCTGGATGAATGTGTCTTTTTAAACTCCTTGGTTGTCGGATTTCAATACAGTTTAATTTTCTGGCAGTTTTTTGTTTTTAAATTAATTGTTGTCCTTTTGGTTGTATAAGGAAGCATTGCATATCTACCTATGTCTCCTTCTTGGCTGGAAGTCAACATGGCTATATTCTTTCGATTAGAAGGAAGTTACTCAAGGGGAGGAGATTACATAAGACTATGACTACCAGGAGGTGGTACGCTTTGGGGCCATCTTGGTGGCTGTACCAAAACTGTCCTGAAACCTTCCCATGAGTTTTGTAGGTTATTCAATATCTTTATAATCCATTTCTTTTTGGCTTGAGCTAACGAGAATCGGTGACTCATTTGCATTACGACCCATATGCAGATGCTCATTGACTTAAGATGGGGTTATGACCCAATAAACCCTTCATAAGTTGAAAATATTGTTAAATCAAAAATGCATTTAAGACACCTAACCCACTGAACATCATAACTTAGCCTAGCCCGTCTTAAATGTGTTCAAAGCACTTACATTAGCCTACAGTTGGGCAAATATCTTGAGTTTCACCTCAATAGTAATTGCCTTTCTATTCTCACCAGAAGCAGAAGACACAGATGGGTCTTGTGTAGAGTTGATGGAGTACAAAAACAAAAATAAAAATCCAAATGCTACTGGCAACACAGTGTACTGTGTTGATTGTTTATCCTTGTGATCTGTGATCGTGTGCCTGACTGGGAGCTGTGGCTCACTGCCCCTGCCCAGCATCATGAGGGAGTATTGTACCACCTATCACTAATCCAGGAAAAGATCAAAATTTAAAGTACAATTCTACTGAGTGCATATCGCTTTTGCATCATCATAAAGTCTAAAAATTGTTAAATCAAACCATCACCAGTCAGGGACCATCTGTACTTGCCCAGTGTTCTGTAATTTTGTGAATCTGATTTCTATTGATCTATCACCATTCTCTGTGAGCTATTAACACTACGAATTGCTCCTTTTTCTTTTTCAAAGTTATCAGTTCTGTGTCTGAATACTTTACTACTTCAGAGCCAGTTACCTAGCATCTATCAAAAACTAGTTTGGATGTTAATCTCTACAAAGATCATAGAAGAGAAGTTAGGAACCTCTCAAATTAGCCTTAGCAAAGTTGGAAAACTGAGTCTTGTTAATGGAACAGCTGATAAATTCTCATACCCAAACCAAGGTTTTTGCAGTTTATCCTTATTTTGGCTATGACCAGAAGGTTGCTTTCTTCCTTAAAAGTTCTGCAGAATTTTAATATCAGAAATCCAGTGCCAATGAAAAGAAACAAGAAAATACAAGAATACAAAAGAATACAAGAAAAGAGAATTTGTTATTTCATATAAACTAGGGAACTACTGGGGAGTCTTACAGGATCAAAGAAGAACTAGAGCTCCAGGGTCTGCAGACAGTAGCTCCATACAGGCAGCTCTCTCTCTGATGCTCTTGTTGACATCTCCGTCATCTCTGTGTCTCCCTTTCCTGGCCTTGTTGCTGACTTGCAATAGTGCCTCCGAATGTGACCTTTAGTTTTTCAGCCAGAAGAGAAAGAAGGGTTGGGTCAGGCTTTTAGTCCCAATGCCAGGAAGATGGGATACTAAGCCAGGCCAGAAGAAGGACCATGGAAAACTACTGCTCAGTGCAGGCTCTGACTCAAGCCCATTGTCCAAGCCCTCCCCGAAGGCATGGACAGACCAGCCATGTAAGTGGTCCCTGAAATAGTCAAGATTCCAAAAAGGGAAAGGCAGTGCTATCATCTGTGGTAAGGCCCTGCCTGGAAACCACAGATTGGAGGAATTTTTTTTGGCCAATGTTTTTCCTGGAGTCTTAGTATTCATTTCATTGCACCAAAGGTCCAGTGTCTTAGCCCACTGGCAAAATAGAGTTACACTGAATTTTGTCTGTATTGATTTCACTTGTTCAGTAACGACTTGATAATTGAGAAAAAATTAGTGACAGACATGGAGGCCAAGGATGACATGGAAAGTAGCTGCGCAGTTCATGGGTTTAGGCCAAGGTTAAAGTATATTAACAAAGCAGGCCAGAGCTTGCTCTTTACTACCACCTTCTGTGACTTATAAGCACATTGTTGATTTTTGTTTTTAACCTTTCAATAAGGAATGATTTGTCAGGTTTATGAAAACCACATGTATTCAGAGTCTTATATTAGTGCCGTATTAGTATGTTTAGACACATGGGATTCTTAGATCTTGATCTTGGATTGAGATCAAGATCAGTCAGACATGGCTTTTGGATGAAGTAATATTGTGCTCCCTTTAAATAGGTGTACAGAGACTGAAGTTACCCTCGTAATTCTTCCAAGGAAGCACTACAGTGGGCTCCCTATAGGGAACTGATACTGATCTGGGACCATTTACAGTTGCTCAGGATATACTCACAGCTCATCACTTGTTCTTTGGCAGTTCTTTATGGAGGGCCCTGAATGTGCTAAGTGCTAGAAGCAATGATGTAGAATAAAACTGCCTCATTCTACCTACTTATAGCCTGGTTTAGGGCTCTACCCCCAAGTAAGGAAGCATCTCACTTCTAAATTTAGATTGGATTCCAATACTTAGGATGAAAATCAGGTGTAGAGAAGTAAAGATAAAATGTACCTGATATCTCCCAAAAGCAAAAGGGTGTGTAGAGGGCAGGAACTCAGTTTTTGGTTCAGACAGAGTTGGGTTTGACTCTCAGCAAAGACACCCCCTGGCTTTGTGACATTGGGAAATTTGTTTACTTCTTTAAGCCTCTGATTTCTAATCTGTAGAATGGGACTAATAATAATATAAACCCAGTGGGATTTTTTGATGTGTATTAATAAGATAATTCTAGGAAGACATTTAGCATTACATGGGCATATTGCTTGAAAATCACTATGGTAGTTGTAATAACCTCAGGAATCATGAATTTTTAGGTCCCTCGGTGTCCACTTTCTACCATACACTTAGAACTTCTTCCAAGTCTCCATACACAAAGCAAACCACCACTACCACCTGTAGGTGTCATGGGTCTCTGGCAGAGACTTTAGAACCAGGCTAACTTGAGTTTATATGCAGGATTCAACTCTCAGAGATCCAGTTCCTCAACTGTAAAATGATTAAAATTATCCAATAACACAGGTTAGAGATAATAATAAGCTCCACTGTAGGGTGGCTTTTAAAAAATTCCTCATCTGGCCATCTTTGCCAGCCCTCGTCATAGTGATGGATTAAGTGAGGATCTCTAGAAGACAAATCTCAGTTGTCCCTGATGTCAGTTTTCTCTTACTGGTCCTGGGCCAGACTTCTTTGCTTTTTGATCTGGCCCTATTTCCTCCAAACCAAGATCTGTGGAGCCATGATAACATGGAGCCATCTAATGGGCATATTAGATTTGGAAATATGCTCTTCATATAACTCGTCTTGACATGGGTGCCAATTAATTGGCAACAGAGATCAATCTCAGCTCCAACGAGAGTGGACTTGTAAGACTGAATTATAAATGCACACTAATATAGTTGTGATTTTTGCATCAAGACTGGCAAGAAATCTTAGCAAATAAAAGATTTGTTTGGTATAGAAAAAATGATGTTCAAAAGTCAAAGTTTCTTGGGAAAGTTCTCTCCACTTCTGTCTGGTACTAGAAATCTACAAATCAATAAAAAGTCTGCATTTTCCCCAAATTACTGATTCTTCACATTGCAGATTCTTCCCCTGATACCAATTCACCTGGGTCCCTCTTCAGGAAGAAAAAGGCATGGGGTGTTTAAAAGCTTGATGACATCTGCTGACATTCTCCTTGCTTGTGTCTTGCAGCCTACTTCTGCTTCCTCCTGACTGCTCTGGGTGTGACAGCTGGTGCCCATCGCTTGTGGAGCCACAGGTCCTATAAGGCCAAGCTGCCTCTGAGGATATTTCTGGCTGTCGCCAACTCCATGGCTTTTCAGGTGGGGATGGAGTGGACATTCCTCCACATACATTCTAGGCTCAGTGTTCAGGCCCCAAGCACTCCCTACCTGTCCCAAGTTTTATCTCCTTGCAGTTTTTACATACTATCAAATGTCACCTGGGTACTTTGTGGCTCAAGACATGCTGAACTCCAGAGGAGGAAAGGAGATTCCTCCCTCCAGAATTCATGCCCCAAATGTGCCCTGGAACCCACCACAGCTGCCTAGCTCTAATGAGAGCCAAGTTCGGTATGCTGAGTATGCTGTATGCTATTGCATTTGATCCTTGCACTGACCCCATGGGTTAGGTGTTACGTGTCTTCCCATTTCATGGATGAGGGAACTAAGGCTTAATGAAGTTAAAGAATGTACTCAAATTATATGACTAAAGAAATGAACCTTCTAGGATAGGCAAATGTCGGTCTGATACAAAGCCATTATTTCTACAAAACATGTTCCTGAAGCCACCCTCTAAGTTTGCAGTGGAAGTTCTATTCAATATGGAGTTGGAAGACTCAGGATTTGAATCTGATGGTTGCTAGCTGTGAATTGCTTACTCATCTTCAGTTTTTTTTTATTTGTAAAAGTACAGATGTGAGTTCACTCCCAAAGTTGTTATGAAACCATTAAAAATTACAAGGAGCTATATATAAAAATGTAAGACAGGATCACCACTGCACTGGGTTGGGCTGTGTCTTCAGGACTACTCTAGTCCTATACATGTCCCACCATCTTGGTTACTTTCTGAGCTGCTGGAATTTTGGATTGATCATGGATCTCTGTTTTTTTCAGGCAGAGTGGGAACAACTTGTTTTCAAAGTTTTTGCCCATATATGAGTGCAGATGATTCCAGACCCTGTGATTTTTCACCCATTGGGAAGAAATGGCAATTCCCAAAAGTGCTTTAGGGTCAAAGGAAACAAGTGACCCAGGATCCCCTCTGTGACCCTCAGACATGGGAGTCATGTGACCACCTCTGCACTGGGCCTCATATCCCTACAAGACAGCCTGACCCTAAGCATTTCTCTAAGCTGCCCTTGTATCTAAGAATACAAATCCCTTTTCCAGGCTTCCCTCCTGCAGTTTGAAAGCAGATATGATCTAACACAACGGATCACCATGGGAACACAATTCAGATTCTGTATACCTATTGGTTATAATTCAACCACATTTGGGAATTAGAATCAGGGGCCAAGGGGAAAAGCTGTTTGTAGGCAGAGGAGTCACTGGAGCCTCCTGGTTGCATGCTTTGTTTGCCACTGGCATCGTGACCTACACCGCACTTCCTTTTGACTTCAGCCATCTTGGCTCAGTGTTACGCTCTGTTCATCATGACAAGAAGTTACGATAATGATAATTTAGAAACTCATTGACTTAGGTCTTATATGCTGTTTAGGACTTAATTCAGTAACTTTCATTTATTTCATTCAAGCAATTTATTATTTTTAGCCACCAATTACACATTTGTATGGTTATAAAGCACCTCTATTGGAATTTTTCCCAACATCAATAACTTGAAATTGAGAGCATAAACCTTTTTTCCCAGTGATACTTTGTTAATAACTCAATTTTTGAGAATATAAGTTTCCTTAACAAAACATCCCATAATAGAACATCACATGGCGATTTTAAATTTACTTTGGGGAGAAAGTACATTGTAGACCCGGGCCCTGGAATAAATTCTTGGCTCTGACATTTGCTAACTCTGGGCCTTTGTGCAAGCCTCTGTTCCTTTATAAGCAAAGGAGTGGGATAATACTACTTACCTCACAGAGTCGTTGGGGGGATGAAATAAGGAACAAAAAGTACACAGATTGTGAAGTACCCAGAGGCAGTCAGTGAATATCGTTCCCCCCTTCTATGTTAGAATTGGCACACCGCCTCATTCATTTCTGTATTTTAGTGCTTTTGATATGGAAAGCACTCAATGATTATTTGTTAAATGAATTAATATTTTTAAAGCATTTTTAGAAATCATCAAATTTGAACTATGCCTACATCTTCCAGGGCCACAAATATTTATTGAGCCCCTGTTATGTAGCAGGCACTGAGCTAAACACAGTGGGTTTAATGATTAGCAAATACAGCCACCACCCTTGCCCTCATGGAGCCTTCTGTCTACTGGGATATTAGAATTCCCACAGTTTCCCAGTGGAAATGTCAGTGCTCCGTGGGCCTGGGGTTTTAAAACAATGTCATTTAGAATGTAAGATCAACATAGGGTCAACTCCCATGTAATGTGTAACTGTCAGAGGGGAAGAGTGCAGTCAATCCAGATCACTTAACTTCAGGAAGAAAACCACCTGGGAATGTAAAAATGTGCTGTGATCTGCCAGTCTAAGGCATGACCTATATATCCCTGACTCAATGTAGAGCCATTGATTTAGTTTCCCTTTGATGTCCCCCTGGGTTTTTAAAGATAGTTTCAAGGGTTCTCTTCTGCTTTCTTTCATCAGAATGGTCATGCCTTTGGCCACAATGGAAAAATGGCAAGGTTAGCTCTGAGGATCATCATCAGGGCTTTTGCTAGATGCTGCAAACAAGATCTCGATCATCAAAAACAATCTTCTAAAAATTGGGACTGAAGCATTTGAAATTCCCTTTTCGTCTTTATTTTGTAGAGGAGGTATGTGCTGGGCGGAGGGCAGTAGTGGGGAAAGATTTTCAGCTCTACTTTTAGTCTGAAAAGATGTCTCTCTGCTGTTGTCTTTGGGTTTTCCTAGAGACTTCTTCTTAAATAGGGATTAAGGCCTTCAGTTCTCTCCATTGAAAATCCCGTTATTATGCAGGAGCCCTATTAATGTGGAGGACTCTATAGTCCTACAGTTAGGTTTTAGTCTTCGTGGTGAGCCCGTTGGGTATTTCCCTTCCCACAGGCAGTCAGGCTTTGATAAAACTCAGTTGATAGGCCCTGATAGGATAGTTTCTCTTGAAGACAGATCTTGCTAAAGAAAAGAGACAGCTCTCCACAGAGCTTGAGTTTCAAAATGGTTACATTTCCTTTTCCTGCCAGAAGAGCAAGGGGATTTTCCTTAGCTATCATGGTGAGAACTTGGTGGGGCTTCTGGAGGTAAAATTCCTGAATGTGCAGAGCCCTCTAGGACCAGGCACTCTAGGAGTTTCTAATTCTCAAGCTTGTCCACAATAATTCATCGACTAAAGTAATTCATCAGTTAAAGTTTAAAGAATTCCTACCCATTCCAGCTTTTGCTCCCGGGCCTCTGCTTATAGTAGGCTGTGATTCTCTGTTGCTGGCTATTTGTCCTTCTAGATTTGGGGGCTGCAGTTTGCCTGTGACCTCACTTCTCTGATGGACTTAATAGACTTGTTGATTTTCAGTTTATTTGGCATTTTTTTTCTTGTTGTGAGGGTAGGAGTTACTATTTCCAAGCTCTTTGCAAATCAGACAGAAAGTGGAAGTTATAGTATGATCTGTGAATATGTCATGTAGATCACATGGTCATGGGCCATGAACTTTGGCAGGTATATAACAACAAAAACAATAACAATTTTTGAGTGCTAACCACCTACCAGCATTTCACTAAACACGTTAGCTATCTGACAATACTCTACAAAGTAGATACTGTTATTGTCCTCATATGATAGGCAATATCAGTAAAATTGAAAGAGGCTACTATATAATCTGACCAAGGACATTCAGATTTAAGTAGCAGAAGGGGGATTCAAGTGCAGGCAGCTTGACTCAGAGGTCACCCTTTCACTGATGCTCTAACGCCTGTCCCAGCATGAAAGTGTGCATTTATTCTTTCATTTGGCAAATACACACATGCTAAATATTGCTTCCTGCACTGGAGAATGAGACAGACATGCTCCCTGTCCTCATAATGTGTACTTTTATATTGCAGGGGGAGAGAGAGCAAATAAATAAGTAAGCAAAAGAACGTGAAGAATTTAAACACAGTGATATGATGAAGGGTAAGAGAGAGGCAGCTTCTTTAGAGAGGACAGTCAGGAAAGACCTTGCTGAACAGGTAACATTAGAACTGAGACCAGAGGGAGAGAACAGGTCGGGGAAGAGCATTCCAGACAGAAGGAGGAGCCAGAGCAAAGTGAGAACAAGGATGGTGAGTTCAAGGAAGAGAAGAATGGCCAGTATGGCTGGTCCACTTGAGAGTGGGAGATGGTCAGAGAAGAAAGAGGCCAGAAAGGGGAACAGGGGCCACACCAGTGCAGGACTGTCAGGCATAGCAAAGACTTTCATATTGTTTTAAAAGCCATAGAGAGGCACTGCAAGATTTTAGTCAGAGGAGTGATGTGGCCTAATATATTCCGATGGCACAAGGAAGCCTCAGAATAGTCATGAGAGGCCAGAGATTTTTGTGCCAGATTCGGGCTCATAGAGCAGCCCCCACCTCTGGGTCTCTGTAGGCGTGCACATCAAGGAGGGAGACTTGGCCATGAGGCAATGCTGTTGAGGATGGCTGGGGCATTAGCAGCAGCGTGCAGTAGCCATTGGTTAAGAGAACAAAATGCCAACTGGAACACTACTGCAGGCTCCAGAATCCATAACCTTACTGGAGGTCTGCATGGGCTCCATTGCTCACTGCAGGCATCCTGTTTCAGTGTCTGTCGCCTTCCCCAACCACAAGCCTAAGCTTCAGAGGTACAGCCTTTCTTTGGCATAACCAGGTTTGCCTTCCTCTTTCCAGAATGGGTGGATGTTGTTGGTTTCCTCCTCCTGTGTAAACAAGCAGCACTAAAAGTGGCCCTGACCTTGAAGCCCTGAGAAGCCTTCTTGGTGTGGTTTTGGAAGATAGCTTGCATGCCAAGCTTCACAATGTCTCCTTCCACAGCATTTTGCCCTCCTGGCACATTTGGAAGTCAAGTGGAAAAAACAAATAGCTTGGCCATCTTTGAGCAATTTCTCTGCTCATGATAATGGTGATTTATGGATTCATTAAAGCATTCTTGTTATACATACTGCTCTCTAACTCCAGATTGGCAGTACTGGTGGAGACTCTAACAGATGACTGGGTGGA